ACATGTAATTACTTCAAAGTAGAAATTTATTTGTGCCCCTACAGTGTGTTCTTTCTAAGTAGGTAAAGTTACAAGTTGCAGACATTGTTATCGAGTTGCTCAGGATCGTACTGTACAAGTTAAAAGTGTCTGGATGTCAACACATTTTATAAATGGGAACATGGGAAGTGTATTCTCGCCGAGATTCTCGCGTATTATTGAAAGAAAACGTAATTCTATATTTAAAAAAACCTTCAATGCACAACTATTCAATTAGTTAAAAACAGAACTACACTACAAATAATTAGGAATACAGGGAAAAAAGATATAAAACACAAATAAAATTACAAACAGCAGACTTGCAATCAAGATATTGCCTCCAGTAGGTAAACATCACGTGTAGATCGAAATTTTTTGTGTCTTATTTTGGTTAGTATTGCTTTGTTGTTGGAATTTTTTTTTGCAATTAAGTACATTTAATTTACTTTACCCTAAATCGTCATGAAACCTTCATTTTCATACCTAGTGTATGTCAGGAAATTTTAGTTTCCATGACAGAGGCAGACCAGACTACTTTTTCTGCCACCTATCACTTTACCGGCCGCACCTGTCACTTTTCAGGGCGCACCTGTCACATGGCTAAATGTCTATAATGACTCCTGTCACCACTGACAAATTGACAATCAAACGTTCTATATAAAAATTGAAATTGTATATTAAAATACGATTTCGAGTAAAATTTAATGCAAAGGGGCCTTGTACTTCAATATTTCCTCACCAGCAATGACATTTTCCGGACTTATGTCAATAACTATTCTATTGAACTACCTACTTTACAGCTGTGTCATTAATTAAATGAGGAGTTCTGGGTTTTATACAGAATTTCATGTTATTGTAAATTAAGGTAATTTTTAATACGTAAAAAAATATGGTCCGTTAACACCGAGGTTAGCACTCAATTGCACCCTAGCGCCATCACGGGTAACCCATGACAAATTTTCAAAAAGTTGGGGTCCAACATTTTGCGACCGGTGTTATGCCAACCGATACATCCATGCGCTCAATTGCGCGACTTGAATTAAAGCTAGCGACGTCATCTTTAAGCCATAACACATTTTTAAAACGTGAGGGGGAGGGGGGACTAACTTAACGTTTTCAAAAATTACGTTTTTTAACATGTTTATTTGCACCGAGATTTGCACTATACATTGTAGCATTCATCCTGCGCTCTAATGCGCCATAAACAGAAATCTTTACGCCATTATAGATTTTTAGAAACTCTATATAGTACACACCGAGGTACACACGGTGAGTTTTTTTTCATTTTAAGCATTGGGATCTCGGAAACCCTCGCGGAAACCATAAGACATACAGATTCGGTTAAATGAGGAAAGAGTTGTAGTTTTAAGAGCTTATTTAAGGTATGCTTTTGTTTTTTAAAAAAAATCCACAGTTTACTAGATATGAGGAAAACAAATTTAGTGATTTTTCATATAACTGTTGTAGAATAGTTATTATTAGAAATACAGCAAAGTGACACGAACAAAAGTTTTAGATATTTTTCTGCTTAACATTATGAACACACTAATTTCTTTTTATATTTTACCATTTTTGAGTTATAATACAAACTTTAATTTTTTAAATTATAGTCATAGTTGGCTTTGACATTTTTAAAAAGGACACATTTTTCTCTTAACAACGGTATAAGGTTTAGGTACTAAATGTATTTTATTAAATAAACGCGCTGCAGGAATTTTCGTATTATTGAGATTTGAGAGGTAAATAATAAACAGAGTTTGCCATGGAAAATAACATCTAGTGAGAAAGGTAATAGTGTAACTGTGGCACATTTAACATATTTAAAGGCCATTTTCGAAAATTCACTATAAAAGTTAAATTAACAATTATATTCAATACACTATTAAAAGTAGATCGTATCATGCCATGGAAAACAAAATACTGCTGTTTGTTGAAGACCTCAAAGAAAACTTGGATTTAAAGTTTGGTGCGGAATTATTGAATCACGAATTCTCGGACCTTTAATTTACAATGAAAATTGGACAGGCCGCAACGTATCTTCATTTGCTACCAAATGAATTTCAAGATATGTAGGATGGGTTAGATTTGGAAACACGACGTAATTTACGTTGGTTTCCACACAACGGTGCCGCGCCGCACAACCAACTACAAGTACGAGAGCACCTAAACCAACTATTTCCAAAGTCATGGATAGGTAGGAACGGGTCGGCCCTTTGATCACCAAGATCGCCAGATCTTTCAATTTTAGATTTTTCCTTTTCGGTGTTCTAAAAGGGTTTAATTTATCAGCGAACTTATGCGATAAAAGACTACATGATGCTGTGGTAAATGCCTTTCGCATTTTAGATGGTAGGATAATACCGAGGATAATACGGAAAGCTGTAAATTCTATCGCGAAAAGATGCCGCTTGTGTGTAAATATTAATGATGGGCAATTTGAACATTTTTTACATGTAATTACTTCAAAGTAGAAATTTAAACGTAATATTTCGTAGGTAGGTACTCGTAATTTCTTTTCGTTGTCGTTCTATTTGTGACCCATATTATAATAAGAGAACAAAAATGTTTCCCATAAACTCTGTTTTTACTACTCTTAATAATACAAACAGTTCTATATCATGTTTATTTGTCAAAGTAAGTACAATGAACCTTATATTATCGTAAACAGAAAAAAATGCACTTTTTAAAAATGTCACAGCCAGCTATAGTTGCCATTTAAGAAAATGTAAGTTTGAGTTATAACTCGAAAATTATAAAAGAAGAATAATGTACCTTATTAAGCGGAACAAAATCTACAATTTTTGTTCTTTGCATATTTCCGTATTTCTAATATTAACGATTCTACAACATTGAAAAGAAAAATCACTAAATCTGTGTTTCGACACATATCTAGTAAACTGTGGATTTTTTTCAAAAAACAAAAGCATATCTTGAATAAGCTCTTAAAACGACAACTCTTTCCTCATTTAACCGAACCTCTATGTCTACGGTTTCCTAATGCTTAAAATGAAAAAAACTCACCCTGTATATACCTACCTAAGTATGTAGTGAAGTTATGTTCTAATTATGAACTTAGTTGTGCAACTTCTGAACTTCAATCGGTTTTGCAATTTTTCGTGTTATTTGTACCTGATGTGTTGTGCACTTTTATAGGGTATCTAGATAATTGTTAGTGGTATCAAAAAATTAATTAAATATGTTAGCCACAGAATGATTATAGAAATGAAGAATGACGCTGACGTTTCGCAAAATGAAAATGAAAAATTTGTAATTTCGGAATGATACGGAAAAACGCTTTATACAAAAATTTCTGTATAAGGATTGTTGAATAATCTGCGGTTTTCATGATAAGCCTCGGGATAAACATAGGGGGTCAGGTAAAAAAATTAACGGACCTAACCCAATTTTTTAATGGAACATCACCCGATATATTTTAATACAAAAAGATAGCAGATTAAATTCTCTTTTTATATTTTAATTAATAGATGATATTGGTTTTTTATGCGATTTATATAAACTCTCATATAAACTCTATTGCTTTAAGCCGCAGCAGGCTATAAAAGAAAAGCTCGAGGAAACGCTAGAAACGACACTATGTTAACATTGTAACTGCAAAGTCTTACACGAAAAAATTTAGCAAACAAAAAGCATACGAGATAGTTGGCACAAAAAAGCAAATAAAAAAATTTCGAAAAAAATTATAGAAAGTTTGGAACGACATAAAAGATTGTTTCATAGCCTACTGTGGTTTACAGTAATCAAGAAAAAAATCGTACAGAAAACCAATCCTTGGTGTGTTATTAGATTCTTGAAAAGAAGATTTAATATGCCATCTGTTTAGATTAAAATATGCAGGGTGTTCTACTAAAAAAAATAAGGTTAGGTCCGATAACTTTTTTCTCCGACTCCGTATACTTATTTTGTATTCTTGCTTATTAGTGACGATGCAAACTGAAACAAAGTGCAAAAGATTACCTACTGCAGTCAGATTCAGCATATTTGGACTAAGACTATGTTTTGGCTAGGCAAAATGCATGGTGAGCCTAGAAATGTGGGGTGTGAAGCACCATTAACTATGCACCAAAAGACAGTTCAAGAAACCTTGGAAGCCTTTACTATTAAATTTTGTTTAGAACATGAGTGGCTTACACTGCAATTATACAGTGTGTTAATGAATGGGACAAACTTCAGGATGTGATTCTGCATGAAAAAATAATTACAGTTTGATATATAACTTTTGTCCGCAAATCCTTCCTTTTCCAAGCTACTGGGTGTAAAAGTTTTTCTTATTTTTTCGTATGGGGTGCCGTTTTCATGCATATCAACAAATGGGAAACAACTACCTCTTGAAACCAAGCAAATTTCATTGATTGAGCGTTGGGCTACACAGTCGCAGGTCAGGTGTTCGAACCTGGGACCTGAGACAAGAATTTTTCATCTGTGGCAGAGATCGAGGAAATTTCCTTAGATCAGTTTCGAACGTTCAGTCGACTACTCCGAATTAGGTTTTCCTGCAGTTTTCCTAATTCGTAAGGTAAATACCGGTGTAGTAGAAAACAACTAACGACCTTCTGTACGTTGTACGGGCACCTCTAAAAAACATTATACGGGTCACTCTGTAATTGGGCGCAAGTCTGTTGAGGGCCCAGAACAAGAGGGACAATAAATAAATTCATTGCAATTTTATACTAGGATTTCAAAATTATACGGTAATCCCAGCAAATACTCCAAAATTTCTAGATTGGTCAAAATGATATCTATTAAATATATTCCCTCGTATATTCCTCAACAAAAGTGTATTAAAAATATAAGATATCGAAGATGTCGGAATGATTTCGTATAGTTTCGATGACGAAGCATGGGTTCATTTATGAGAATAGGTTGATGGACAGAAATATCGCGTAACGAGAACTTACGGTGATCGTTTAATGAACAAGACTATCTCCAGGGTATCATTAAAATGAATATTTGAAAACATGAATCGGAGCGTGCAACTGTCAACTGTGCTTAATTAATTTTGATTATTGTTTAGTGATCTATTAAATTCATCCGCCATTGCTTTTCAATAAATGAAATGTGGTATGTTACCAACCGATTACCACTTCTCTAATTGTTTAGTTTTGCAGGAAATTCAAATTGTCCGCAGTCATTTTGGATCACTCGGTATAAGAAGCTGTTCGTCCGACGTTCGAGATTTGGATTTCGCAATCGCTGCAAAATTGTATGCTAGTACAGACACAGAGGAATTGGTAAAAGTTTCTAAAGACGATTTAGAACCTAGCCTTTGGTAATTGGCTTAATTTGTATCTGTGATGGGATATGACTAAGGAAAAAAAGGAACTAATTTAGGTACTATCGCCTTCTTCAAAATCAAAAACCCTCCTTCCGGAACAATGAAATTACACTAAAAATGTACCCACTTGGTTTTGATGATTTCGAATTGCAGTGGAAAGCGCTCGTTTTCAAAAATGAAAATTATGAAGAATGCATACTTTCAACGACGATGGGACAAAAGCGGATATCAAAGCTATTGAAAGTGATTTACGCCCGGGAACTAGATTGCAGCGAAACCATCAAGGCATTTTCTTCAAAAAAAAGCTCGCAATTAGTTTTTAATAAATTGTATGTGCTTAAAAAAACAAAACATTTTTTTGCAATTTTAGTCAGCCCAACATTCAGTCTAGACTGCCTCCCGTTTGCGTTCTATGCCAACGCCGAGGGCGACGGTGCTCTTATTTCTCATTTTTGAAACGACTACTTCTAGTCTGGCCTGAATCTCTCAGTATCAGTAGAGCGGCCTATGTATATAATTATGAGGTATAAAAAAATTAATAATTAGGTATCTCCCTCGGAGGAAGTAAACTTTTCTAATCACAAAACAAATGAGGCCTAAAAAATAAATGCACACTTTAACCCAATCAAAATGAAGTGTTTACTATACAAACATTTACGCTCCCTATAAACACTTATCGTAGAAAATAGATAAGTACTTCAACTGACGAAACGAAATATTATGTTTATGGAAATTTTCGCAACAAGTCTTGAGCAATATTTTAATCAATTGATACTTGTTATTTAAATAAAAATTCTGTTACGTCAGTATTACCAATAATTCTATTGAACATTTTCTTTGCGATAATTTTTTAGTCATTGATTTAAAATAACTGAAAGATTCATATCCCGCCCGACTTTACTGCTAAATTTAATTCTTCCCCATAATTTTCCTTTCTGGTATGTTCCAGTTATAATTTTTCAGATCAGGAAGGCTTTAGTAGTAAGACATTTTGAAAGAAGAGAGATGATTGTTGTAGGTATTTAGGAAATTGCGAAAGATAATGATGGTATTTTAGTTACATTTGCAAAATTGCAATCACAAATTAAAACTAGGACAAACCTATTACTCGATGAAAACCACAGATAAGCAAGACACGATCAGGATAAGGGTGTACCTCAATCTGGTAGGTAGTAAATTTCCGTCGGATTCCTAATGTTTTCTCTGGCTAGTTACAAGTGCATACATCCGAAATCACTTCCGATTCCCCTCGTTTCTTAAGTATGCCCGATCACGTTGGCGTTGTGTTATAAATTAATTGATCGTAGGTATCACTAAATATAATCGAGCCGGCATAATTACGATAGGTATACCCAGGTGTAAACCTACTTTTCATTTTTCCGCAATTTTAAAGCAAAAAAGACGCACTTACCCCTTCCAGATGCGGAGGCTGTATGGGCTGGCGAGACGTAGCGAAATTAAGAACAGGTAACGCGTTCATTTTCAGCACAGATCATAAAAGACACCAATTCCACAACAAACTAATTAACGCACAATAAAAGCACGCACGTTTAAAAATAATTTGCCGAATTCACTCATATTGGAAGTTGTCGAAACCGATAAACTTTCCCCTATTCGAATAAAGAAATGTCGCTTAAAAGTTTATGAGGTAATAAAAAAAAATATTTGATAAACATCAAATTTAATCAACGAATGCTATTTAGCTACTGTTTGAGATATATGCAAATGCTTGAAACGAATCCCGTTTTCTGGGGTTTGGTGGGCGTTTACGGTCGCCTTCGTTATCTCCCACTCCAAGGGGCCATCAGAATGGCACCGCCCCAATTTCCTATATCTGGATTTCGAGTAAAAATGGATTTTGTCGTAAAACCGCAATGTGCTTCTTGGAGCGCGAAAACATTGGTGGCGCCATTGCAATTTTACTTTTCACACAAACATTTTGAAACATACCACTTTCATCACAACAAAACACATCTTGGGCATCGCTTTACCTAAGATAACATTTTGAAAACTGATACCTATTTTTTTAACACGGTAATTTTCCGCACGATCTGTGTTGCATGTAGAAACGCCGGCGGCGCATTTTTTAAAGAAAGCATAGGTAATTAAATATTCTCTTTAAATGAATGGAGTTAGGTTTCAACTTTTGAATATTATGAATATCGAAGCATAAGATTTGCAGAAATTCTCGAGGGTCAAATTATAACATTATGCGCCCCAAAAATATCATGTGAAACACGTCCGAGTGACGCTAATAATATTACCTACACCAATTAAGCAATTTGATTGTCATCAAAAATCACGTAACCAACGTTGCAACGCAACAGAATCCAGGTAATGGATACAGATTTGTTATTGTTTTAATAACCTATATTTATAAAATAAGTGTGTCGAGTTAAACATTTCGCTGACGCAAGTAATAACTATAACCGCGTTGATGATTAGGCGATTCAAAAATTGCGACGATAGCATTAAACTCTACCTTCCTCATGAATGTTTCTGTTACGCTAGCTCGATTGTATTTAAAAGGAACGTTAAATGGAAGATAATTTAATTTTGGATGCAGTGGCTTTGATTATAGAAAACAAAAAAAAATAATATCGTTTGCTACGGGATTCTTTAAAAAACAAAAACGTGTCAATTATCTACTCGTTGATTATGTACCTACCTATAGCATAGGTGGCGGTGGCCAAACCGTCGATCGCGGGGATCTTCTGATGAGTCAATCGCCTCATTAAAAATGACTGCGCCCAAGCACAGATTAACTACGGCCCAAGCGACCAAAAATCTACCATTTTGATAAAGAGTGGGAAGAAGACTTCTTTTTTCAATGTTTAAGGATAAATGTAGGTACTGTAGTGTTGCGGTTACAAAAAAAGGTATCTACATGATGGAGAGACATGTTTTGAGTCTACATAAAAAATATGGAAACGACAAAATGAGAATTACGACGGATTAATAAAGTACAAGAAATGAAACCTCAATTACCTATAGATATAATATCACCCTAACAAAAAAAACCTTTTCTTAGTTGAGGGTGAGATAGAATGATGTTTTGAAAATTCGGAAATTTCGATTAGTTCCGGAGATATACGAAAAAAACCGAAATTAACCATATCCGCGTGTATTTTGCTCTGGGCCTGTTTCAAAAGATACCTATATCAAAAAACAGTGTTAACTCTTACTTAGGTAACATCTTCATCAACTTCATATTTTTATATGGACTGGGAAAAAAGTTTTATTTTATTTTTTATTATTATTATTATTATTATTTTATTTTTATATGAATGACATTTTTCCAACGCCTACTACGCCAAAATGTTAAAAATTGTCATTTAAGTCAGAAAAAAAGAGCTTTTATAAATGTTTAAGATTTTGGTATAGTATAGTAGGCGTTGACAAAATGTAAAAATAATTCATTGATGGTTCCTTTAACATTTAAAGGACATACTTACCTAGTACAGAATCATATTGAGTGTAATGCCTCCCTTGGACTCTCCCCCCCACTTTAATTGATGCGAACAGATGCTTTTGTACTACATTTCTGGATGGATGCATCTAAATTCACAATTGACTTTGTAGACAGAGCTGTCAGAGATTTCCCACGTTTGAACGTTTCCTCCTGTGAAACTTTTGGTAGAGAGATGATAGGGGGCAATAAACTTTTGAAAAATACCAATTGCAGTAGGTACGTTTGGAATTTATTGCTGGTAAATATGCTTGCGTTGCCAGATACCATTATTTGAAGGTACTTTCCGGAACTCAACTCAAAAATTCTTATACCAGAAAAAGTCTCGAATATTCCTAATGACACTTCTTTAGGTCCAGTAGTAGACCAGGTAGGGTAAGTCGAATGCTACGAGCGCCAGCGGTCACGGTCACGAAAATAGTGAAACGCTCGAAGGGGAATGAGTGAAGAGAGCACAGGTTCTCCCCATTTCTCATACCTGCACGGGCGTTTACATTTCAAATCATGGAAGTTTCACTTTTCATCGTGTAGTTCCTACGCACAGTTTTTTATACGCTGCCGCCAACGCGCATGACATCTAAAATGTCAAAATTTTCTGTAATGAAATGAATTGAGAAATGTCATGTTCTATTGACGTTTGAAGAAATGGAAATGAAACTGAGAAACACATACAAACTTGCCCGTGAGAGGTTGAATTTCTGACTCAACATTCGAACGCCGTTTTCGTATCAGCCGTTGACTAGCGTCGACCGCCTTATGCATGCATTCTAAACGGCAAGGAACATCTCTCGCATCTTCCATAGACTGCCTCTTTGTTATCAACCGCCGATTGACTTCGAACGCCTTTTCGTAACAGCCGGTGACTGGCATCGGCCGCCTCATACATTCGAAAGGGGAACGAAGATGAACATCCCTCGGATCTTCCACAGAGTGCCTCTTTGTGATCGACCGCCTATTAACATCGAACACTTTTTTCGTATCAGCCGGTGACTAGTATCGAACGCCTTATATATTCGAAAGGGGAAGGACCTTTATTACATTAACTGTTAATGTACATGTTAAATCCAGCATCTTTCTTGTTAATAGACGAAGAAGTTAAAACATAACCTCCTACAAGAATTAGCTGTCACTTCTAATTTTTCAGTTTCGCCAACTTGACGACTTATAAGTAACATAACGATAACCTCAGATTTCGACGAAATGAAGGGAACTTTTAATTAACATTGTGATTGTGCAATACTTCTCCCACAAGATACACATTATTGAAACTACTGAAAACAAAGGACTAAGATTGGTAAGTTGCGGAGTCTAGTGTTTATATTTCATATTTTAGTTTAGTAGGTACTGTACTATGAAAACATTATTACTTAGAGATAATTTTTGAATATATAATTTTTGATTCTAATTTCTAAAATACCTTTTATTAGTTGTTCTAGTGCAATAAAACACTTGTGCGTATTTTAAGTAATTTTATTGATAATTTTCCAGTAATCCGGCATTTTCACTCATCCGGCAGTACCCCGGTTTAATGCGAGTCTACTGTATACGAAACAACTATCTTTCTAGAATACTTTCCGAGTGCTCCCGAATGCTTCCGAATGTTCTAGAACAAGTACGTCATATTTTCCGGAAAGAATGCGTTAGTTACATTCGCCTTAGATTCTTATAGCCGATGTCTATCGGGATTACTAGAATATAGGTACCTTAGGTACTTCATTTAAGGGAAATACAGATAACGTGTCTATGATGAGACACAGCACGTACCTACACCAATGGTGGTGATTTGCGCGATAACATAGGATGCATATGCTGAATCCTTAATGTTCAAATTTTTGCTTACCCCTAATTATTTTAGGGGCCAAGTGCATATGAGTAGAGAAAAAAAGCACTACGTTTTCAGAGAAATCTGGAATTAAGCTTTCGACCAAAGGCGTCTGATGTGGGGAGCGTT